GAGAGAGAGAGAGTGAATGAGCACACATGCATTAGTTGGGTAGGGGCAGTGAGGGGGCAGGAAGACACCTGAGCAGGCTCTGTGACATTAGCACGGAGCCCTGTGCTTAATAGGCTGAGGCACTCAGGTGCCCCGAAACACGGATTTATTAACTAATAAATGATTTTATTATGTTGGTGGGCTTGTTAACAAGTTCTACTCAAAAACTATTTTCAAAAATGAAATTTAAAAAGAAAGAAAAATATATCCATATATATTACAACAAAATAAAAAAGAACTTTATATTGATCATCTGAGTATTAAAAAATAACCAGCAAAATAATTATTCTTGGTAAATATTCACATACTCTAATTCATTTCTAATCTTGTGTAACTAGCATTTTTCTGAAGAATGCGCTTTTATCTTATTTTTTTTGAAAGATTTTATTTTAAAGAAATCTCTACACCCAATGAAGGGCTCAAACCTACAACCCCGAGATCAACAGTCATATGCCTCTACTGACTGAGCCAGCCAGATGTCCCTGAAGAATGTGCTTTTAAAAATACAGCATTTAGGGGCACCTGGGTGGTTCAGTCAGTTAAGCATCTGACTTCCGCTCAGGTCACGATCTCATGGTTCATGAGTTTGGGTCCTGCATCGGGTGAGCACGAGCCCCAACTGCAGGTGAACATGAGCCTCACTTTGGATGAACCCCACTTGTCTGTCTCTCTCTGTCTCTGTCTCTCTCTCTCTCTCTCTCTCTCTCCCTCTCTCTGCCCTTGCTCACTTGCTCCTTTTCTCTCACAAAAAAAAAAAAAATTACAAAGAAAATATGGCATTTAAAAATAAAACTGCCAGCAATATTCTTCATAGTTGCAGTTTATGACTAATATGAAATTATTGATATCTTCATTTGATTTTATTGGTAGACCATAATATTTTTAATTGAGAAAATGCTCATTCTACCAGTTCTGAGTTACCCGGTAAGCTCTAAGCAAATTTCCAAAGTGGAAGAGAAACTCAATTCTAATTTTTTTAAAAAAATTTTTAAATGCTTATTTATTTTTGAGAGAGAGAGAGAGAGAGAGAGTATGAGCAGGCAAGGGGTAGAGAGAGGGAGACACAGAATCCACAGCAGGATCCAGGCTCTCAGCCATCAGCACAGAGCCTGTCGCGGGGCTCGAACTCAAGAACCGTGAGGTCATGACCTGAGCTGAAGTCGGACACTTAACCTAGTGAGCTACCCAGGCGCCCCCTAATTTTTTTTAAGTAGGCTTCATGCCCAGTGCAGAGCCCAACACAGGGCTTGAACTCATGACCCTCAGATCAAAACCTGAGCTGAGATCAAGAGTTGAATGGTTACCCAACTGAGCCTGCCACCCAGGTGCCCTTCAATTCTGATTTTTTAAATATTGTAAAGTGTAACTATTCTAGCCCAAATATTTTCAAGGTACCATCTTTTTGCTTCCTTCAGAGTACCTTCTTTTGACAAATATTTTTATAAGACAAAGCTTGTCAAATAAATTGTCTCTACGATTCTTTTGAATGCTTTGCTAAAATTAGATGCTACAAAATCTAGGCCTTCTCAATTTCATTTCATTCATGTGTGTGTATAATTTATTCAAAATAGGCGCACTACCAAAAGATTCTTCCTGCAAGGTGAGATATTCCAAATCACAATTACATAATTTAAAATTTTAATCTTGGGTAGCATTTGAGTTCTTACTATTTATTTTGTTGTGTTCCTTCCTTGCTTTTGCAAAGAAAAAATCCAATGGGATTTTCATTAACTGTAATTCCTTGATTGTTTAGGGAATTCATTATAATTCCCTAAAAGTTTCATTTTGTGTTCTATTTGTTGAACCCTCGATTTCAGATTTCCAATGGATTCTGAACAAGATGTCATCAAAATTTATAAAAAAGTTCAATACCATTGTTGGGCATAAAGATTTTGAAAATCTGATGAATGACAGGCAACAAAGACAGAAGGAACATACTGCAGTGCTGAACTATGTTTTGTACTCTACACCAAAATCCCCAAAATCATGTAGTTCAAAGACTTGAACATAAAAATACTCATAAATATTTGTAACAATTCCATCTATTGCAATTAGTAGAATGTGGACACTTGTTTGGATGCAATTATGAGTTACGGGTATGCCACAACCAGTTCCAAGTACTCCACAGGAATCTCAATGTAGTAAGAACCTTGTTTTTACCACAACACTGTGTGTACCTCAGCAAAATGTGTACTTGTATTATTATTATAAACTAGTAATTTTATCTTCCATGTTGTACTTCAAGCTGAATTTCTGATCTCACTCATAATGGCTTAATCTCTGGTAGAATATACTTTCAGAAGCTTTACCTTGATTCCATGAATGGATGAAAAAAATAAAACATTTTTTGAATTAACTAAAATGATTTAATTATTTGAAGTACCTGATGACAGTCAACTAAAACTGGAATTATTTAACTGTTTGCAAAGTTTTTCTTTGGCCAGTGGGGCCAAGAAATATAAAGTTATCGCTTCCCTTATTCCTATGTGCACATAAAAACTTGTAGCTGAAGGGTGCCTGGGTGTCTCAGTCAGTTAAGCGTCTGACTCTTGATTTCGGCTCAGGTCATGATCTCATGGTTCACGAGTTCAAGCCCTGCATCGGGCTATGTGCTGATAGCGAGGAGCCTGCTTGTGATTCTCTCTTTCTCTCTGTCTTTCCCTGCTTGCTCTTTCTCTCTCTCAAAATAAATAAATTAAAAAAAAACCCCACAAAACCCATAGTCGAAAATGAGTGAAATTAATTTAGAAAAACAGACATCTGTCTAAACAAAAGTTAGGCTTCACAGCGAGGTATGTGTATATACATTCTGCAGTGGCATGTGTGAAACCCTCATCCTCAGGAAGTCTTCTTAAAGTAACTGCTAACTTTGGAAATAGATCCTGATACTTTTTCAGCAGATTTGATACTTGTTTTCATGCGGTCAGTGATAACAAAATGGCCTCGACAGTGTATAGTAAATGCCAACATTTTATGATAATTACACATTCCTTACCAACTATCTTAGTACTTAAAAAAAAAAAAATGAAATATATAGTTTTTAGCTTATTGTTGCCAGAAGGGTTCACTGCAAAAAACAAAGCGTCGCCAAACAATCAAAGAGTTACAGGTTAACACTGCACAAGCAAGGGTGCTCAGTCTACTCCCTACCGCCTCCCCTGATCAGCCTTGATTTTCCATACGTAACTCACAGACACCTAACTTCCACCTTACTCTGCTTCCCACTGAGCTTTTGGACTGGTGACTTGGTGACTCTCAAAGGCCATACGTGGGCCGCAGTGCAGTGGGCTGATACATCAAGTGGCCCACTGCTGGGCCAGCAGTGCCAAAAACTTCCACACCTGATACAGGGAGAAGTTAACTGTTAACCTTGACATTCAGGACACTTCGTTGTACCACCAACTGCCTTGTGTGCTATCCTTGATTGGGAGGTGTCTGGAAAGTTATTTCTGCTTGTCCTCCAGATTTAATATCACCTTACCATGAGAACACTCTCCACTGCACACGGTTCTCACATACTATTAGCTTAGATGAGACAAAAACTGAGGCGGAGGTTGGAAGTATAAAGTAGACATCTATGAAACCCATCCTGGCTCATTCTAATGTCATTATTAATCGTCCTCTGTTAAAAAAAATTCCAGGACAAATGTTAAGTCAGATGGGATTCTGGGACAGCAGACATATACTGACACTGTCCTTAGCAAACCAGGATGTACCTCATTTGATCTTTAGGAGAAGGAGACCTGTCCTTCTCTGTCCTTCCTCCTCCTCCCTTCCTACTGACCGGAGTGAGAACATGATGACAGCTATTTGGGGCCATAAATAAAGTAGTAAGACAGGGATGGCAGAGGAGTAAGACAGAAAAAGCCCAGGTTCTTGACTTTGTAGACTCAATCCTGGACTGTTTAGTCCTGGATGTTTTTACATGAGAAAGAGTGATTCTGTCTTGTTTAGGCCACTGTTATTTTACAGCTAAACCTGATTCAAATTCATATATAAGGAATAACTCTATAATCTTTCTAGAAAGAAGCTTGCCAATACGCTAAAAATATTTAAGCCCTTTGAACCACTTTTAGGTATTTATCTTAACAAAATAATCTGGAATGAGCAAAATTGATATGTAAAGATGTTTACTGCATATCTATTTATGACAGTAAAAAATTAGAAGCTACTTAAATTCCAAAAATGAGAAATTTGTTAAAGAAGTGATATTACATCTAAATAACTGAATATTGGGGCGCCTGAGTGGTTCAGTCAGTTAAGCATCCGACTTTGGCTCAGATCATGATTTTGCAGTTCGTGAGTTCGAGCCCTGTGTCGAGCTCTGTGCTGACAGCTCAGAGCCTGGAGCCTGCTTCAGATTCTGTGTCTCCCTCTCTCTCTGCCCTTTCCCCGTTCATGCTCAGTCTCTGTCTCACAAAAATAAACCAACAAATAAATAAATAACTGAATATTACGCAACCATTAACAAGTTTGTGAAAAGTGTTAATAACATGGGAACGTGCCCACATCATAATATGAAGCAGGAAAAAATAGGCGGGATTAAAACAACCTTATAATGTTAGTTCTCACCTATGTTACAACATGAAGGTAGGAGTAAGCAAACAAACAAAAAGCCTGAGAGGAAATACATCACAATATTAACTAACAGTGGTTGTCTCTGGGTAGCGAGATAATAGGTAATATTTGTTTATAGATATACTTTGTGTTATTTAACCATACTGATATAGTTAACAAATAATTAATTACAACCAGCAGAAAAAGAAGTTAATTTTAAAACTCTTTCTTGGCATTTGTGTCTTACCTGATGTGGACATTGCCACCACCATCATCCCAATTTTACTGAGCATCCACACGTGGGGGGCTGGGGCAGCAGGGCATACAGACCTCCACAGCTCCAGCAGTCAACCAAGAGCCACCTAAAGGTCACCCAGACATAAGCAAACCCTGCCCGGTATTACCTTGGTGTTCTGTAGCAGAGCTAGTCCGTTGCAGGCATTTGCTAGAAGAAAGTCTCCACTCAGGATAGCTATTTTATTTCCAAATTGCATGTCTTTCAGTGGTCCATCAGAGGATTGCAATTCACTTAAATTTACTATCCCACGATGTACGAGGAGAGCAGTGTGGATAAGTTCTGTGATCTCTGCCAAACTTCTTTGACTAAAACGTGAAAGTAAGACTTGTCTGAGTGTCAAGAAAACCATCATATTGGTAATGTCAGACTTCAGTTTTTTGTTTTTTTTTTTTTTTAATTTTTTTTTCAACGTTTATTTATTTTTGGGACAGAGAGAGACAGAGCATGAACGGGGGAGGGGCAGAGAGAGAGGGAGACACAGAATCGGAAACAGGCTCCAGGCTCTAAGCCATCAGCCCAGAGCCCGACGCGGGGCTCGAACTCACGGACCGCGAGATCGTGACCTGGCTGAAGTCGGACGCTTAACCGACTGCGCCACCCAGGCGCCCCCAGACTTCAGTTTTTAACAATAAAATATTTCAATGGCTAGTCTCTCTCTCTCTTTTTTAGATTATTCTTTTTTAATGGAGTTTTTAATAGAGGCCTCTCTACTGATCACTTTGGCATCTATACTCAGATTTTTTTTTTCAGTATTTACTTATTTTTAAGAGAGAGAGAGAGACAGAACATGAGTGGGGGGAAGGTCAGAGAGAGAGGAATACACAGACTCCAACCCAGGCTCCAGGCTCTGAGCTGTCAGCACAGAGTCTGACATGGGGTTTGAACTCAGGAACTATGAGATCATGACCTGAGCCGAGATCAAGAATTGGACACTTAACCAACTGAGCCACCCAGGCACCCCTATAAGCAGATCTCGACATGTTCCTTCCCTGGAACATTCCTCACCCTCCATGCCATGAATAACCAGGATTCCTCAGAGAGAAGCTGGGCAGTGGAGGCCACCCTCCAGAGATCCATTTAGATGATCTGTTCTCAGCATACCTTTCCCACCTCTGTGATTTTAGGATATCTAAAAATCCTTACTAGGATCTAATGAAACTCCAATTTAAGGGGGGAACATAACCTGTGTCAAGCATTAAGCCAAGCACTTCTACACATTATCTTTTTTAACCCTAATGCAAAGCTATGGGATTTACAGAGATGAATATATCCATAGTTCTTTTCCTTCAAAGACCTTACATTTCAGAATACAAAGCCAAGATATATATCTACAGTAGTAAAGAAAATAGAGAAGGCCCCCGAGGAGCCTATAGTATAGTACTGTATCAGATGGGATCTCAAGAAATGTTTCTTTTTTAATGTTTTTCTATAGTTTGGACATTTTCTCTAATAACAAAAGCATTATTTTAAAATCATAAAAAAATTACTAAAATATTTAAATTTCACAACCATCCTATGATAGGTATTACTAATTCCTTTTTACAGGTGAGAAAATTGCTGCACACCATTAAATGATTTTCCCAAAGGCACACAGTAATGTAGAGCTCGAAATCTGTTGGAATCTGTTACAAACAGCTCATGTGAATCACACCTCTTGGCTTCCATGCCCCTGTGTTGTCCCATCCACACTAACTCTGGGTTTGGCCATATTAACTGACTTTGGCCAAAAAGACCTTAGCAAACATGACACAAGCAAGCCTAAAAAATGCTTCTGTATTAAGACTCGTCCAAAGCAGTCACATGAGTGACCCTAGGTAGAAGAACCATCTGGTCAATCCACAGAATGTGCAATAAAATGACTATTTCAAATTAGTAAATTATAGGGTAGTTTGCTATGCAGCAACAGATATCTGATACAGAAACTAGTATATCTGGGATGGCGTGCTGTTCAACAAAAGCCTAAAAGATGTGTCAGTGGCTTTGAGTCTGAATGGTGGGTTCTAAATGTGAAAGCTAAAGAGACAGCAAATTCTTAGTGGAAGCTAGAAAGGCAGTGAAGAAATTGTTACTGGAGACTGAGAAGGGACATGTTATGTTAGAAGGTAGTGAAACAACTGGCAAAACTATTGCCTACGGTAACTTGAAAAATAGAAAACGTATAATAAAATTATGTATCTGGATAAGAGGATTACCAGGCAGAATGATGAAATGTCATCTGGATTATTTCAGCTGTGTACAAGGTACAAGGTACAAGAGAGATGAGCTAAAGGGAGAATTGTGAGTTTGGAAGCAGTTTAGAGGACCTGTGAAGGAGAAAAGACTTGCTAGGTTGAAAAGAGAACCTTCACATTTCCAGTCTCTTCAGAAAAAAAGACTTCAAAGAAAGAAATGGTATTAGGAAAAAAAAAAATCAAATCAAAACTACAGCTATAAGACCGTTTCTAAAGACCTAACAAATTTAAGTTGATGCCTGATTGACCCCTTTGGCTAGACAAAAGGTCTCTAAGAATTTTAAGGGTATTGTCCCATAGGAGCCTTATATTCAACCTAAAGTAGACCTGTCTACCTCAAAAAAGAACTATGGATATGTCTTTTAGGGTACGGAATGAACGTTAATGACATTCACAGAAATCCCAAAAAGCTTTTGAGGGAGTTGTATGAGCTTCAACTCAAGTGACAGTTGACAGTTCAAAAGGAAGGAAAAAGAAAAAAGAAAAAAAGGAGCTTCTAAACCAACTTTCCATGGACAAGCAATCAGGCTGAGACAGCTACTCAAATACAAGTATGAGTCATCTTTTTTTTTTTTTTTTTTTTTAATGTTTATTTGAGAGACTGTGTGTGAGTGCACGAGTACACTAGTGGGAGAGGGGCAGAGACAGCGAGAGAGAATCCCAAGCAGTCTCCCCATTGTCAGCCCAGAGCCTGACACGGGGCTCAATCTCATGAACCGTGAGATCATGACCTGAGCTGAAATCAAGAGTCAGACACCTAACTGACTGAACCACCCAGGCCCCCCATCTTGTCTCTTTTTTTAATTGGAAGTATAGTTGACACATAGTGTTACATTAGTTTCAGGTGTATAACATAGTAATTTGACAAGTCTATATGTTATGCTATTTTACCACAAGTATAGCTATCTCTAAATCATTTCTTTCTGAAAATTTCCAGGGAAAATAGTTTGGAGGGCAAAGGATTCTGGAGTACAATGGTTGGGGAATCTCTCCCAGGAAACAGTCTGGGCCCTAGTCAAAAAATATTCTTTACTTCTAGAGTAGGAGGTCCTCATAATAGGTGCCCAGCTGGATTTCAGAATTACTATGGGCAAATGATTGTTATGTGCTTCCCAATTCTCCCTCTTTAAAAAAAATTTTTTTTAATGTTTATTTATTTTTGACAGAGAGAGAGAAATGGAGCATGAGCTGGGGAGGGACAGAGAGAGAGGGAGACACAGAATCCGAAGCAGGCTCCAGGCTCCGAACTGTCAGCACAGAGCCCAACGTGGGGCTTGAACTCACAGACTGTGAGATCATGACCTGAGCCAAAGTCAGACACTCAACCGACTGAGCCACCCAAGCACCCCATTAATGGAAGTGACTATTGTGGTTGTCTTGTTCCTGACTCACTATTCCAAACTGGATGTGTAGTAATGGTAGGGGTAGTAACTTATCCTTTTAGTTCCTTGGACTGAGGAGCTGCACCCCTGGAGCCACATCCACATCTGGACGTAATGAAACTTATGAGATTATGAGATCACGGACCTTGAGCTCGATGCCACGAAATACACGAGACTTTGGGGCTTAGGGAGGTGGTAAGTATATTTTGCATTAAGGAAGGAATGTGGATCATGGGGACCTGAAGGTGGACTGTGGCAGATGGTTATACCAATGTCCACCAATGAATCATACCTCCTGACATCCATGTCACATATCCTCCTTGATTAACTCTGAGTTGATTATATGACTTGTTTGGCCAATAGAAAACCAGCAAATGCAGGATAAAATCCAAAGGTCTTGTAAGTGTTCTGCACCGGGGCTTACCCTCTTGGTATGCTATCCCAAGACTACTTGTGAAGAAACCTAGTCTAGCCTCCTTAAGAATGAAAGACAACATGGAGAGAGGCCTACCTTTGAGTTGACCTACCAGGCAAATGCAGCCACATAAATAAACCCAGGAGAAACCAGCAGACAATGAGTTCAGCCAACCTACAGAACTATGAGAAATAAAATGGTTACAGTTTTAAGTCACCAAGTTTTGGGGCAGTTTGTTATGTAACAACATATAACTGATAGAGACTTCAAAGTTCAACCTGTTTCCACTATACCTAGGCTGCTTCCTAGATATGCCAGTTGAAAGATTCTTACTTGACATATCTTTGAAAGCCATGGAAAGAAAAGCAAAAACGAACTACTGGGACCTCATCAAGATAAAAAGCTTCTGCACAGAAAAGGAAACAATCAACAAAACTAAAAGGTAACTGACAGAATGGGAGAAGATATTTGCAAATGACATATAGAATAAAGGATTAGTATCCAAAATCTATAAAGAACTTACCAAACTCAACACCTGAAAAACAAATAATCCAGTGAAGAAGTGAGAAGACATGAATAGACACTTTTCCAAAGAAGACATCCAGATGGCTAACAGACACATGAAAAGATGCTCAACATTGCTCATCATCAGGGAAACACAAATCAAAACACAATGAGATACCACCTCACACCAATCAGAAAGGCTAAAATTAACAACTTAGGAAACAACAGATGTTGGCGAGGATGTGGAGAAGGGGAACCCTATTGCACTGTTGGTGGAAATGCAAACCGGTGCAGCCACTCTAGAAAACAGTATGGAGGTTCCTCAAAAAAATAAAAATAGAACTACCCTAAAAAACAACAACAACAACAACAACAAACCCCTACCCTACAATCCAGCAATTGGCATTACTAGAAATTTATCCAAAGGATACCAAAATGCTAATTCGAAGGGGCACATGCACCCCAATGTTTAGAGTAGTGCTATCAACAACAACCAAATTATGGAAAGAGCCCAAATATTTATGAACTGATAAATGGATTACGATGTGGTGTGTGTGCGCACATGTAATGGAATATTAGCCAGCGATGAAAAAGAAAATGAAATCTTGCCATTTTTAGCAACGTACATGGAACTGGAGGATATTCTGCTAAGTGAAATAAGTCAGTCAGAGAAAGATGTATCACATGATTTCATTCATATGTGGAATCTGAGAAAATTAACAGATGAACATAGGGGAAGGGAAGGAAAAATAAGAAAAAAACAGAGAGGGAAG